CTTAAAATATTAAGTGAAGTGTTAAATCCAAAACGATAAGCGTATGTATGATAAAACTAATAGCAACTTTTTCATGAAAATTAAGTCTACCTATGAATGAAACACTTGATTTTGCTCTCTCTGCCGTGCTAATGGAAATTATACTTAGGTAGAAACATATCGGAGCTCCATTGGCTAAACGAGAGGTTTTCGTTGCTCTTACCGCTATTTTGGGAAAATGGTGATCATTTAAAAGAATTCTTCTTGAAGGTGAATGCAATAACTTTGTTCTTTAAACAGGCGTTCTCCTGTCTTTCAGATTCAAGGTTAAGAAGTTGGAAATAAAAAAGAAGCTGCATATTCATTGAGTGGATGGGTGTTTAACGGCGGAAATTCGTGAAATAGTAACCTAAATTATGAAAATTGAGAATCGCGTAACTCATCATGAGAACGTAGTTTACCACGATAGAAAAAAAAACCCAAAACTGTTGTATAAACATTTTTATTAATTAAAATATGTCATTTTTGCATGAAACAGCATTATTTTTAATGACATTTAAAATAATTTGTATTTCAACAACTAGACCTAGATATTTTTTTCGCGTTAAAACGAATAAATTTCTTTTATTTAATTTTAGAAATATCTTTAGATATAACGAATTGCCATAACATTTTGATCACAATCAGTGCTATTGAAAAGAATACTTTTTTCAAGAATGACTCGCCCATTCAAGCGATACATACCGTTGAAAAGCATACTTCGCGAAAGTTGAGCTCACTCGTGTTTGATCGTTTTTCGAACTAACAAGGCTAGATTTGACACCAGCTTCTTCCAAATTAAGGTTGCTGAAATTTTAATTTATGAATGTAAGCCTAAATACATGAATACTTATCTTTGCAAACAAAATTATATGTGATTCAAAGCATTAAAAATAGTACAATGAAAACAAGCAAATGCTATGCAAAAAAAAAAAAAAAAAATCATTAAAATATTTCTTTATAAAAAGAGTCAAATAAATAAATCCCTAAAAGTTTTGTGAGTTATGTCTTCACAAACATACTAAAAGCATAAAGATTGAACGAAAAAACAAAAAGGAGTAAACTGTAGCGCTCGTTCACTCCAATTCACTAAAGTCATCCACTCCTCTCTCTTCAATTGTCAGAGTTATGCTCCTGTAATTTGTCTAAAAACAATAACTGCATATATGTGGACGGTCCCTTCGTCTTCTAAAAGGAACCATAAAACTTCCTTCAGAAAGCTTAGTTGGCTGAGGGCCAACAAGTCCCTTTCGAATCAACTCCATCCCAACATCCCTTTTACTCTCAAAAATTTCGAAATCGATGGAATGTAATCTCCTTCCAACAGATGCAGGACACGCTTTGCTTAAAAGGTTTATTTACGAGAGACCACGTTTTTAATCTCTGCCTTCATCCATTTCACAGACATCGTATTTAAAGAATTAAAATTTAATTCTCCATGAATCCGAAATGGGTGTATATTCATACCATGTAATTAGAAAGTAATTATTTTTAATAAACAAGAAATATTCGCATGGACCATCTAACATTCGCATAAATATTTAAATCTAATTCACCTTAAATAAACTAGCACTAACTAGTTAACATAACATCAACTAGAAGATATAGAAAACTTAAAATGCTTAACATTATTATTTAAAAAGAAACAACAACAAAGAGGATACACCTTTTGCTCGCTCTTCTCGCCAACCCCAGTGGCGGCCTTTCATTTATCTTTGTTTTCTTGTCTAAATTCTGTTCGATACTTTTCAGAAGAAAAAGAAGATAATTTTGTTTATAAAATGTAGATTTATCATAATGTTGGATTGAGACTGTTTGTTAATATGTTTATGGCAACAAAATTAACGAATACTTGAATAATCAAATATCCTTGGGGGGAAAAATTGTTTGGAATATGTGACGAATCAATGAAGGGATTTTAACAACAGTCTATAACAGTATTAATTGTAAACGGTTTTTATCTCTCTTGAGAAATTTCTATTTGACGGCAGAAATGTTATGATTTATTTCTGATCGCTTAGTTTTATTTATCCATTCTTTCTTGCTTCTTCCGACAGCAAGTCATGCGCGAGCTAATAAAATGAGAATCTGGAGAGAGATACATTTTTCGACAGCAATTGATACATAATCATAATTTACAGTACAAAAATTCACCAAAATGCACTTCAAATTACAAAAATTTTCGAACAAGTTGGTATTTCGATAAAAGAAATCGCTTATTCAATTTATAATTAAAAATGGCTATTTCCACATGTCAAATTTCAACTCTGTAGTTGCATTTTAACGGGCAGTAGAACGGCTAACATATTTTTTTTTTTTACATCAAGTTTAAGAATTGATAATTCTCGAGCTAATAAGCGAATTTCTCGCACATTTTTTACACACCTTTGTAATTTCTAGTTTTTTAAGTTTTGCAGATTTTGCACAGCATTTGAAATGTGACGTTAAGTTGAACATACAAAATAACACTGGCTCTTACGATTTTTCAAAGTTCAGAGATAATACTTAGAATTAAAATTATTAGCTTAAATGCTCAAAATTAAACACAACACTACATTCTATTGATTTGTTTGTCTTACAATACATTTAAAATTTATATTAGTATGTATCCTTCTTTACACAAGAAAGAAAATATCGACAAAAAAAAGTTATGTTAGGGAAAGATGCCAATAAGTGAGAATTATTATACGCAAAAACACTGTTCTTTATTTCCATTTTAATATTTACCTTTGCAGCGTTGAAATAAAATAATTTGTGTCTGTGTTTGACTTTTATTGTACAGAAAAAAATAATGATTAACTTGATGTAACTTTTTATATGATCAACTGTGATTTGAAACCAAACATTTGTCTTTCTAAAGAAAAAGCGCTTATTATGTTTTGTTATAATACAAATTTTACAAGAATGTAACTTAATTTTTTGTTTTATCATGATTGATTGTTCAAATGCAGCAAAAAGAAAAATCTTTCCTGCTATGTTTTTATTAACTTGTTTCAGAGATATTGTTTTTTTAACTCGTTTGCGAACGTTAAACATTGGAAATATTCCTAAAGAAAGTAAACAGGTCATTTTCACGAATTTTAAAAATTGCGGCAAGAGTTTTTTGATTCCTGAGATTTACAAATATTGTAAAAAAATAATATTAAGGCGAAGAATCTTGTTTTGCCTCCAGGGGAATCGGCTCATCTCTAAAGATTTAGGATTCCTAAAAAGAGGAACGTAAAATTCCATGTTTGATTTCGAAATTTAATTTATATCTGGTACTAACTTTCGAATATTTAAAGTATCTTCCTCGAGCGAGGGCTATGGAGTCCGGAGACGAAAAAAATTTGCAGGAGTGGGATCTCAAAAATTAACTTCTGACTCCGAATAGTTAAAAATGAATAAAAGAAGAAACGATGTTTTTGATCGAATGAAAATTATTTAGAGACATTTTTAGTGCGAGAACAAAAATATTACTTTAATGAATAGAGTGTGACAATTATGCAAATTATCAGAAATTAATTTAAGCGTTTTTGAGCCTTTATAGAAATATTGAAAAAGTACATGAAATACAAANTAGTGAGTATAATCAACTCAATTGAAAAGATATGCTAATGAATTATGTCTTCTTTGTGATAATTTTCCAGTTGCAGAAATATTTTTACAGAATTCTTTTGCAAATAAGACATTTATATGTGTACGTGTGTGAGATATCTCTTTTCTTATAATGGTTTTGTAACATTTCAATGCTTTGTCTTCTTTAGCTTTTATGAAATGTAATTTTAAATATAATCCATTTAAAACTAATCGTGCATGTATAGATTGAAATTTGTATTTAATTCGTAATAATGTTATTATTTTCCGAAGTGAAATTTGTAATGAAGTACATGTCGGAGTTGAAATTGAACATTTCAACTCCACGGCTCTGCTTCCAGCTATTAAAATGAGATAAAATTTTGCGACACATTTTTACAACTTACTAGATGTAAGGTTATTGGATTCAGTAATGAATCAAGTTTTACTGAAAAAACAGTTTTGTTAAAAAGAAAAAAACATTTATTAGACGCCAACCACACATCAACAAAGCAAAAATAAATTGAAATACTCGTAACGGGTTAATATAAGCCACGTTCCAAAAGTTGATCTCGTTATGCGTTTTAATTCATCCTTCTCGTTTAATTTATCCCGTTTTAATTCATGCTTGCGTTAGATAGATTTTTTTCAGGACTCTATAATGCACACACACATATACATACACAATTATATTCATATCTTTATATATATATTTCTTCTGTGCGTGTGTTTGTCACTGAACTCTTCCTAAACGGCTGGACCGATTTAAATGAAATTTTCTGTGTACCTTCAGAAGGATTCGAGAATGGTTTAGATTCACAATTCGGTCCAATTTCAATTGTTTTTTTAATTAATATTTTATTGAGTGGGAAAAATTCTACTTCTTAAAAGTTATACTTCTTATGCGACTTCCAACAAGGTTGCGTTAAACGTTTAACGCTACATTTTTATTGGCCGGGAAATCACGTGGTAGGATCCAGTTTTCCCTCATTCATTTCCATATTGTTTTGGTTCTCACTAGCATAAAAATAATAAAAGTCATAAAACGTTTGTTTTTCTATAAATATTTTTTTAGTTTGTTTTGATAGACATATAATTTAATAGGGAGCAGGAAAAAGAGTCGTTGAATAGAATTTGTAATTTCGTGTTATTATTGTGTTTGTAGAATTTTGAAGTGTGCATTTTAAAAATGTAAAAAACTACACATTTTGTAGATTCAGTGCGGAATTGAAGTGAGTATTTTTTATAATTTTAGATTGAATTTATACGTGCGTTGGTTAACAACCACTGTAACCTATAAATTTATTTGTGAAGCTAATTGATTTCATATAAAACTTTTTCAATTGTTTTTATTTAAAATTTCTTATTTGAAACAGTAAATAAAAAAAAGCAAAAAAATAAAATTACAAATTTTTTATCTAAAATTTGGTACAATAAATCTTTTCAGTCCTGTTACTTAATTAAAATATCATTTTCAATAAATTACTCATATTTTTTATGTACTATTTTACAGTAATTTGTTTTACAAAGAAATGCCACGTCTTCGTGGAAGAGCAAGAAATATTGGTCGACGTACTCGAAACGCTCAATTGGTCCATGATCATCGATTGAATAGAACAGTTGAAGAACACTTGACGGATAATGTGAATTTAAGAAATCAAGTTGCATCTTCACGTGAAAATGAAAATTCAGAGCAACGCAATCAACGTCTTCGTGCAAATGCATTAAGACAACGAGAGACACGCCAACGAGCGACCAACGAAAACAGAGAACGTGACCAACGGCGAATGCAAGATAATCGAGCATTGATACGAGCATCACTTAATCGTCTTGCATTTGAATATGACCCTGAAATAGACTATTCGTCACATGCACTAATCTTAATCGGTAGCATGGACAACGAGTGTCAATATTGTCATGCTTTAAAGTACAAAGGTGAATCGCCTGGTTTATGTTGCGCATCTGGAAAAATTTCACTTCCACCGTTAAATCCACCACCGGAACCTTTGAAAACATTATTAGCTGGAACCGCATCTCAATCGAAATTGTTTTTGCGGAAAATTCGTAAATTCAATTCTTGCTTTCAAATGACATCATTTGGAGCAACAAAAATTGTTCATAATGAGGATGGTCGTAATTTTGAATCTACATTTAAGATTCAAGGTCAAGTGTACCACCAAATTGGTTCATTGCTTCCAATGCCTAATGTCGATCCAAAATTCTTACAAATTTACTTTATGGGCGATGAGGAGCAACAAACTCATACACGATGCGTATACAACCATATAGAGCAGATGGAGGAACGAGAAATTGTCGACAATTTGGAAACGTTCTTGCAAAATCATAACCAATTGATACGATTGTTCAAGACTCTTTCCAGCAGACTGCAAAACGACAACTACGCCATTGTTATTAAAGCAGACAAAGTGCCCTATGGAGAGCACGCAGGCACATATAATGTTCCAACTGTTAATGAAGTTGCAGTTGTTATGGCTGGTAACCCATGTGAACGTCGAGATATTCGCATACAACGCAGAGATAATACAATACAAATAATTCAAGACAATCATCGTTCTTACGACGCACTGCAATATCCGTTGATATTTTGGGAAGGAGAAGATGGATATCATTTAAATATTAAACAAAGGAATCCAACAACAGGCACAACTTATAGATTATTTTATAATTTTTTTTAACCAATTATTTCTGTTTATCTTATAAATAGTTTTATTTACAGGTGAAGAACTAATCAAGAAAGTTAGTGCGATGAACTTCTACGCATACCGGTTGATGATTCGTGAAAATGAAGATAATAACATTCTCCGATGCAGACAGCTATTTAATAAGTACATTGTTGATATGTATGTAAAAATCGAAAGTGAGAGATTGCGTTATATAAAATTTAATCAAGCGAAACTTCGTTCTGAGGTGTACATTCATTTGCGTGACGCCATAATCCGTAACGTAGATGCAACGAATGATGTCAACAACATCGGTACCGCATATATTCTTCCATCATCAATTGGTAGTCCGCGTCATATGCAAGAATATATTCAAGACGCCATGACTTACGTACGCGCATACGGCCGACCAGATCTTTTTATCACATTAACGTGTAATCCAAACTGGGATGAAATTAAATTTGCTGTTATCAGGTCAAACATCGATGCATCTCCATGATATCATTGCACGTGTGTTCAAACAAAAATTGAAATCTCTGATGAAATTGATTACACATTACTCGGTATTTGGTGAAACACGATGTTGGCTTTATTCTGTTGAATGGCAAAAACGAGGTTTACCTCATGCGCATATTTCGATTTGGTTGGTGGACAAAGTACGCCCAGAAAAAATTGACAAAATTATTTCAGCGGAAATTCCAAATCCGAATGTTGATCAAGAATTGTTTGACATTGTGACTACTAATATGATCCATGGTCCATGTGGTTCTCTCAACATGATGTCACCATGTATGGATAATGGAAAATGTACGAAACGTTTTCCTAAACCATGTCAAACTGACACTATCACCAATATCGATGGTTATCCATCTTACCGTCGTAGAGATGTAGACAATGGCGGTCAATCATATGAATTGCGTCTATCAAACGGTGTAAGAGTTGACGTCGATAATCGCTGGGTGGTTCCATACTCACCATTGCTGTGCAAAACCTATAAAACACACATAAACGTTGAGTTATGCAGTTCGGTGATGTCTATCAAGTACATTTGTAAGTACGTTCATAAGGGCAGTGATAAAGCTATATTTGCTGTTCAGAATGTAAATAAGAATGACGAAATAATACATTATCAAATTGGACGATACATAAGTAGTAATGAAGCTATTTGGCGAATTTTTACATTTCCTATAACTGAAAGGGATCCTGCTGTTGTACATTTGGCTGTGCATCTTGAAAATGGACAGCGTGGTTATTTCACAGAACAGAATGCACTACAACAAGCTTTAACAGCCCCAAAAACAACTCTTACTGAATTTTTCAACCTTTGTAATCGACAAGATATTGTTGGTGAATTTGCAAAGACATTAATGTATACTGATGTTCCTAAATTTTTTACATGAAATAAACGACCAAAAAGTTGGGAACCACGGAAACGAGGCACTCCACTCCCAGGATTTGCCGACATAGTTATGACAAATACTTTAGGACGATTATATACAGTTCATCCTAAGCAACGCGAATGCTTCTTTCTGCGTTTGTTATTGGTTAACGTTCCTGGACCGACATCCTTCCAATACTGGCGAAAAGTCAACGGTACTTTATACGGCACTTTCTTTGATGCGTTTCGTGAGTTTCATTTATTGGAGGATGATAACCATTGGGACCTCACACTTGCAGATGCAGCACTGAGCTCATCTCCACAGCAAATTCGTCAATTATTTTCAATAATATTGACAACGTGTTTTCCGTCTGAAGCATCTGCTCTGTGGAATAAATATAAAGACTCAATGAGTGAGGATATTTCGCATCGGATTAGAATTACTAATCAAAATCTCAGTATTGAATTCTCCGCAGAAATATATAACGAGGCATTAATAATGATTGAGGATATTTGTATTCTTATTTCGAACATGCCGCTCATAAATTTTGGCATGCCAGTGCCAATCCGCCAAGCCGCAGATATCATCAACAGCAACGTTCGACGTGAACACCAGTTCGATATGACTTCTCTGGCTACTTTTGTTGCTGACAATGAACGATTGCTTACTGCTGAGCAACGAAATATATATGATCAAATTAACGTGTCAATTGCAGCTCAACAAGGTGGATTTTTTTTCTGGACGCTCCAGGTGTCACTGGTAAAACATCCCTCATCTCACTAATACTTGCGCGCATTCGATCTCAAAATCATATTGCATTGGCAAGCTTCATCAGGCATTGCAGCAACCTTACTTGATGGTGGACGGACAGCGCATTCAGCCCTTAAATTATCTTTGAATATTCATACCAATCCCGAAGCAATGTGTAACATAAAGAAGCATTCAGGCATGGCTGAAGTTTTGAGAAAATGTAAAGCTATTATCTGGGATCAATGTACAATGGCCCACAAGCATTCGCTTGAAGCTCTCGACAGGTCCCTAAAAGATATTAAAGATAATACTCGGCTTTTTGGTGGTGATCTACTGCTGCTGTCAGGTGATTTCAGACAAACATTACCCGTCATTCCACGTGCGACATATGCGGACGAAATAAACGCATGCTTGAAAGAATCTTATCTGTGGCAAAGTGTCAGTAAATTATGCCTTACTCTTAATATGCGTGTTCAACTTCAAAATGATCCATTAGTGTCAAGATTCTCTGAACAACTGTTAAACATTGGCAATGGTAAAATTCAATTGTATGAAGATACACAATATATTGGACTCCCACAGAATTTTTGCAACATGGTGCCTACCAAAGAGGAGTTAATAAAAAGTATCTTTCCAGATTTGCCACATAATTATACTAATCATGCATGGCTACGTGAGCGAGCTATTTTAGCCGCAAAAAATTTAGATGTTGACGCAATCAATTTTAAAGTACAACAATCATTGCCTGGTAGTGAAATTACATTCAAATCGATTGACACTGTTGTTGATCCTGATGAAGTTGTCAACTATCCTGCCGAGTTTTTAAATTCACTGGATTTACCTGGAATGCCACCCCATAATTTGCGATTGAAGATTGGTTCACCTATAATTTTGCTTAGAAATTTGAATGCTCCGAAATTGTGTAATGGCACGCGACTGGTCATAAAAAAAATCATGGGTAACATTTTGGAAGCCACTATTTTAAGTGGAAAATTTCAAGGTGAAGTTGTACTTCTACCGCGGATCCCAATGATTCCTTCAGATTCGCCTATACCATTCAAACGTTTGCAATTTCCAATCCGCTTAGCTTTTGCTATGACTATTAATAAGTCACAAGGTCAAACAATGACAATTTGTGGCTTAGATTTAGAAAACCCGTGCTTTTCTCACGGTCAATTATATGTTGCGTGTTCCAGAGTTGGAAAACCCTCGAATTTGTTTGTGTTTGCTCCTGAAGGATTAACCAAAAATATTGTACATCTAATGGCATTATGATAACTTAAGTTTTTTTTAATTGAAAAAATATACCTGTTATAAAATAGTTCAAGTTTTCACTTTTTTAACCTTTAATTAAAATAAATTTTGATTTAAAACAACCTCTACATTTAACTTCGCTGATAGTATACACATACTCACACGCTATCGATTGGTCGAATTGTGATAAGATATATGTAATGACGTTAGATAATATGATAACTTTTTAATAAAAATTTTCATCAAAACGATCCAGATTGTTATAGCTTATTCAAAAAAATTTGAAATTCTCCAATTAAAGACGTATGTACAGGACATCGTCTGTCGGGTCCGCTAGTATGTACATAAAATAACAGATATTTAAAAATTAAAACATAATTATTCATATTACACATTAAATGACACATTTATAGCTACTGTTTCTGTAGAGTAGCGTGCCAGATAACAACAAATTCAAGCCAACTCGAACTTTTATTTTAAAACTGGCGTTGAACAACCGACCCAATTGTGAATTTACAAATATCAATGTTCAATTCCATAGCCTTTTAGTTTTCCTAGAACCCAGAAAACAAGGGAATTCCTGGATCAAGAATAGGGAAAACTAGCCATCGTACTTTTAATTTTGATCGAACAAACCCGCATCTGCGTTACATGGAGAAGAAAACCACTGAAACCTTTCACGTACAGACTAAGGGCAAGGGGATTCTATCCATTGATTCGTCTACAACTGAGGATAATTTACGTCAGTTTCGTGGTCGGCGTGAGCCGGGAGCAGTATTCGTATCAACCAGTCAACATGTAGATTCGAACCTGGGGCACCTCATCGCGAGGCGAATGCTCTTTTCCCTGACGCCACCGCAGCTCACTCGAACTCGATTGTAAACAATTTACTGATTATTCTAAGTATGCCAACATTGGTGTTTTTGGAAGAAAAAATAATTCACAAACGGTGTAAATGGTTTATGCTTTCATCATTATTGGTGTTTAGATTTTACTTACTTTATATGAATGTTGATAATTTGAAATAAAGTGTTACTTAACACAGTTTTTTTTGGATTGTTCAATTCCAATTCGGAAGTGATATTACACCACAGTTTTCAGACAGGTGTGCGTCATCTGGGAAAAAAAAGATATAATGTCTTCATCAGCTCACACGATTATATCCGTAAAAAGGAGTGTTTTCTTTTCTTGTATCAATATAGATTATCAATACAATAGTGTGAGGAACACTCAACAAATTTATTGAAACAAAATAGAATAGAGCACATGAAATAATAAATATCATATAAAAAACAGAAAATGAAATGTAAAGAAAAAACAGAACAAAACATAAAACGAAATCTATAAAGCGAGTAACGAATTCAAATGAACTTACATGAGCGGGAAAATTTTCAAGAATGATTTAAAATATTTTCACAATAAGATTGCTAGATTACAAAATATGAAAACTGAAGCCTAGATAGAGGTATTTTGTTTTACAGCACGTTCTTACTGCAGTACTGACGGTTGTTTGATTTGTTAGTCACCAAGGATTGGCCCCCGAAAATAGATGTGCTCAAGGTAATATTATACTGGATAATTTAAAGAAGTGTTTAATTAAAAAGGTTGATATTTAATCATGCAATTTTAATAATTTTACAAAATTAACTTTTATTTAAGAAAAGAAAGAGAGAGATAAAGAAACATGAATTGCCTATTTTGCACATATTTTTAGCCACGGATTTGTCCAAAATAGATTTGTACATTGTAAAAATTATATGAATTAGCAAAGAAGTTTTTGGTAAATTTATTTATGATAACATAAAATGACCCAGTGATTTTATATAGAATTTAATTACATACTTTAGTTAGGTAACCATTGTTTTTTTGAAATCAAATTTTGAAAGAGTTTGTCTATTTGTTTTTTGGACAAATAAACATTACTACATATTCTTTTAATTCTATTCATTTGATTAAAAATTATATTTAAATCGATGTTTTTAGAGATATTAAAATTCCAACTAATTAGCATTTATTTATAGTAAAAATAAAATAATTTCTTTTGTTGTATAAATCAACAAAGCAGGTATTTTCTTCTTTTATAATACCCAAATCCAAAAAATTTATATTATCATCATGATTAAGAAGCAAGATTAATTCCTCTGGGTAAATATTATTTAATGAAATTGTGTAATCTTGAAAATTAAAGATAATTAAATCATCAATGAATCTAAAAACAAATTTAATATTAAGAATATAATTTTTTTCCATAATAGTGCAAACATAAATTATGCTAAGAGAGATGAAAAATTAGATCCTTGAGATATTCCATAAATTTGATTAAAAATATCTTTTCCTTTGTAAAGATTAAAAAGACAAAAATTAATTAGAATTTCCCAATAATCAAAATCGCAATGAAGGATATTTTTAAAATCATAGTAATAATTGAAATGGACATTTTTTAGTTTAGAAAGGGGAATGCTGTTGAAAAGATCCTGGAAATCAAAAGGCAATCGAATTAATTTTATTATGTTCAATAAATTCTAAAATCGGTTGATTATTAGTGATAATCCAAGAGAAACCTTCTTTAGTAATAGTGTTAATAATTTTATTTTTAAGTTGTTAGAGAAAATGGTGCATGGCAAATATATAAATGGTTAGGTAAGTATTAGACCCACGTGTGATTGTTCCAAATTCCAAATTTTATAGGAATTTTATGACATTTAGGAGTAATAATTAAGTAAGGAAATTGTTAATTGTTAATTTTATATTGTATATTGTTATTTAATTGTATATAGTTAATTTTAATTTTTAACTTCTTTTATATAAAACTAAAATTTTTTTAATGAGAATATTATTATTTAAATTACTAAGCTTAAAACTTTTACAATTTTTTAACTCCATATTAAAAAGTTTAACATGGAATTTTTTACGGAAGATTGGATAATTATTGTCAGCTTTGTCTATGGGGGTAATTATAAAATTTTTCTTATAGTTGCTCAATGGATGGAACAATTTTAGAAAAATTTGTTGAGTTG